CTTTGACCATAAATGAACCAAAACCCCAAAACCCCAAAACCCCAAAACCCCAAAACCCCAGCCAAACTACTTAACAATGAAATTTTTAAGTATGACAATTAGAAATTAATAAAATGAACATGTCATCACCACTATTGTTCCAAAACCCACTGATGTACTACCCCAGACCTCTGCCAAACCAGAGATTTATGGCTGGAGTTGTCCCAACAGAGGACTTAATCCAGGTAGACAGAAAACCAAGAAACAAGAGAACCAAAAGATCTTATGTTCAGTGCAATTTAACAAAAAGACAATCCTTAGTACAAAGGGTCGAAAGAGACGGACTTACTATAAAAGAGGCTGCCATTGAGCTTAAGATCAACTATTCAACAGCTAAACATATCATAAAGGTATTCCGCCAGTCTGGCGAGGTAGAGACGAAGATTATGATGAAGAGAAAGAATAAGAATCCAAATTTGAAGAATTCTTCATATTCAAGTACCGGTCCTAGTAACTACGTAAATACAAGTCCAGTAATCAAAAATACCCACGTGGGAACTACTACTGTTAACAGCAACCTAAGCTTGCCTTGAGCACTCAACTTGGACTTGACAGTGACTCCCAACATGAAGTATGAATTTTTCGTACCTAGTAAAATAACCGACCAAGAAAAATGTGAACTTTCAGACTTTTTCTTCAGATAAACAGGAAGCAGCTCAGTGCGCTATAAAACCTCTCAGTACTAACTGGGAGTAACATTATCTTATTATTAGATGTTCATGATTCTTTCGAACAAACATTGTCTTATAATCCTATTTAACTAAACCTTGCAAAATTTGATCTTTGTATAAAGGTCTCTTTTTCAAAAATTTCAGCAACAACAATTATTATATCACAAATACCCATGACTAGGAGTCAAGGGCTAGCTTGGCTTCATAACTTGCTCTTCCTCAACTGTCAGGGTTACAACTCTAAAATACCATGCATAAGTCAATATATTATTTCGAAAAAGGGGTTTTGGGGTTTTGGGGTTTTGGGGTTTTGGGGTTTTGGGG